CCTCCAGGAGGGATGCAGGGAACCCAAGGTCTCCACGTCCCCTCCTCTCACATGAAGTGCCTTCCTCCGGGCATGTCACAGGACAAGGGGAAGCTGTTCAGACAACATTGGGGGTGATGAGAAAGTCCAGGAAGAGAGGGAAATGGCACCTCCTTAGTGAACGTGCTCCCTGGACGCCATTGGCATGCTGGGAAGCGCTCACTACAGCCCGGAGTGGTGTTGGGTCCTGCAGGTCCCTGGTGCCCTCATTCCAGGACCAGTGCTGGTGCTTTGCTCACAGCTTCTGTTTGAGTCATAGTGGTCATGGGGCATCCTTTGTCCCTGGGCCTAGAAGAGCCTGGAGCCTCAGAGACACCCGAGATGCTTCCTGTGGGCCCAGTTTGTCCTCCTCCATGGAGGGGACAGAAGGTAACTCCTACTTCCTGGATGCCGAGGCCAGGCCTTCTTGTCTCCAAGTGCCCCTGTCCTCCATTGTAGTGATGGTGCTGAATGTTGTTCATACTTCCTGCACTTTCTTTTCTGACTCATAGGTGGTGGAGCCTCAGAACCCAGCTGGGCAAGAAATGGACACTCATCGCTGCAGGAGCAGGTCAGGCCCCCTGCTGTGCCCTGCGGGGGACCGGGCTCATTCATTCATTTCGCTCTTTTCCGGCTCTCAGCAAGCCCACAACTCTCTCCTGGCTTTCATTTTCATCCATTTAAATTGAAAAAAAATAAAAAACAAATGAAACCCACTTAAGAGAATGCCTTGAGGGGTTAGCAGACTGCTGGAGTGTTGGGCTCCTTCTGGGGTCTTTGTGATGGTCAATTATTTATTGAGCCCTGGTTGTGCTCCTGGCGCCACCAAGGCAGAGAGGAGCCAGGGTCCCTGCCCTGGAGGTCCTGAAGAAGAAGGCAGAGTTTGTGGATGTCCCAGCTGAAAAGGCAGTGACACATCACACCGCGGGCTGCTCTGTTCTTTGATTATATGTTTCCTCTTAATGACTTTCATTTACTTTCTGACTTAAAAGTATTAGAAAGGTTATAACATATTCCTTAAAGATAGAAAAAAATAAGATCCAACTCCAGTATTTTTAATGCACACATAAACATCTACTTGGTTTATAAAATTAGGAGTTAGGTTGAATGTTTAATTCACTGAGTTTGAATGTTTAGTTCATTAACTCATCAGATTCTGCTTTGATTTTTACTTCACATTATATTATATACTTTTCTTATGCCATAAAGCAGTCTTCAAAAACAAATTTTATTAGCTACAAAATATCTCATCATACAGACACAATAATACAATAATTGCCTTCAATAGTTTTCTAATGCTGGGCAATAAAGATTTTTTTTTTCCTTTTTCTTTTCTGTTTATGGCTATTATAAATAACACTGCATGGACACCCTTAGCTTAGAACATCTTGAATCACTCTGGTTTATAATGTCAGTTTATAATCAGGAAGAGGGAAAACTTAACTCTGAGTTTGAAGCTCAATCCTAAAGTAAGTTCCATAGCCTCTGAGCTTTGCTTTCCTCTCTGTCCAATGGTAATGATGACACAGAGGTCCTAGGGAGCTGTGGGCCACGAACTGTGAGATGACAATGACCAAGCAGAGCAGTCCAGTCCAGCTGGCTCCTGTGGGGAGCTCCCAGAGGGGATCAGTTCATCCCCTTCTTTCCTGACTCCTCCCAGGAGGGACAGAACCCCACCATCCCTTCCTCCTGTCCCCAAGATGCACAGTGACAGCGATGCTGAGGTTGTTTAGTAAGAAACTCCATAACATGGACAGGCGTCGGGAGGGCACACAGTGGGTTTCTCTCCAGTGAAGATATCAGGGCGAACAAAAATGCGAGGGTGACCCAGGGAAGACATGAGCTCACTTGCTATTTCCTTGTCCCCAGGAAGCGGTCAACTTTAGGGGTGCCCAAGCCTTCATGAAAGGATGCCTGGGGAATGGAAAGGAAGCTGACATCATGCATCTGGGGTTTGACAGGCCCTTGGATGTCTGAGGAGAGAAAAGCAAAACAGGCAAACAAGCAAAAACTCCATACACTCAGGGGCAGTGTCCACTGGACTAGACCAGAAGAGCCTTGGCATGCCCTGGGGAACAGGCACCAGCATGACAGGAGGGCAGGGCCCATCATCTGATGTGAAAACGCTCCAGCTCCAGGAGCCATGGGAAGCCAGGTGGGTGGGGAGGGAGTGGGGCTGGGCAAGGGCATTTGGGCGCTGCTAACTCTGCAGCAAGTTGAGCCCCCAAGGTCTGTATCAGTCAGCAACTCTCACAATTGTGCTGCGTAACAAGCCACCCCCATGTCAGTTACAAACAACAGGAACATTCCCCTCTCTCTCATGTCCCGGGGTGCTGGGCCATCACATCAGGCCAGGCCTGGCTCTTCTTGGCTCCAGGTTGAGAGTGGCATCCAGGTCTGCGGTGCCGAAGGCCTCTCATCGTCCTTGAGCCAGGGAGAGCCAGAGGCCTGTTCTTCTCCTGACAGAGGCAGGAGCACAGCCACAAGGCCACCTTCACAGGCACACTCCACCCTCTGCCCACGTCACACCTGCTACGTCCCATTGGCCAAAGCAAGTCACAGACCCAACCCGCATCAGCAGACAAGGACACGCACCCCACATCCAGAGGCACAAACCAGAGTAATGAGACACAGGGCCTGGGTCCAGGGAAGGGAGGTGAGGAACTGGGACAGTGACCCTCCACAGCACAACCTCCCAGGGCTTCAAACTTCCCCTCCGCCTCCCACCCAGGTACATTTCCAAGGGAACACTTGCAGTTCCAGGGCTTGGAACAAGTGGTTTCTAGTCTCTCTGCTTGGTTCCACACCCTTAAAACAGGACAGGGATGTCGTGTCAAATCACATTCTGTGAGTTTGCGATGACACATAAACAAGCGAATGCCAGAGAAAGGGCTCCAGGCGGGGCTGGCAGTGGGGTCAGAAGCCAATAATGACTATGAGCATTACTAACCATACTCAAAGCTCTGGAAATTTCCTTGAAAGTCTGACTAGAGACTCATTCCCCCTACAATTACCATTTTCTTTTAATGTGAGAAAAAAGCAAATTGTGACAGAGTAGTACATCCTATTTGGGGAGCACAGAGAAGAGGCCAGGGGCTCTTGGCATCATACAGGCCCAGGTACGAGTCTTAGCCCTCCTCCCTTACCTCCTCTCTGGCCCTTGGGTCCTCCTCTGTAGAATGGCTACAAGCCCAGCCTCATGAGTCTGTGGTGGTCAGGACTAAACGGGAGAGTGTTTCTAACATGCCCAGCATAGGCCTGGCCCGGGAGGAGTTCCCACAGGCTGTGGAGAGAAGACTGGCCTGGGGGGTCAGAGCTGCGACCTCGGGTCCTGTTACCAGGGGATTCTGGAGAAGTCCCTGAGTCTCCTTGAGCCTCTTCTGCCTGTAAGCTAATGAGGTAGCTGGATTGTCAGACCAAGGGATGTCCCTGCGTCTCCCTCACCTCCTATCCGTGGTCTCTGCTCATCGTGTCCGGTGAAGGGTGGATGCAGAGTTGGGCCAGGACCCCTCAGAGGCTGGCGGTGACTGTGTCAGGGCGGGGGTCAGATTTTGCCCTCCAAGGACTGAACTTTAACACAGGCTCACCCAGAGTGTTTCTCTTCATGAGTCCTTTGCTCTCAGCCTGCAGGATTGTTTCAGCCGCCTCCTGCTGCAAGGTCTCCTGGAGAACAAAGCCTCACTCCTTCTGCCTTGGTGCAGCGTCACCAGGCTTGTTCCCATCTCAATGCCCTGACCATTCCTGGATGGAGCCTCGCAGATGCATACCCCTTGGGGCTGCCGGAGTCGTGGCTCTTTCCAGCCATCCCAACACCCCTCCCGGCTCCAGCACAGGGCTCATGGCACCCCAGGGTCTGTCTCCCCAAGGTTTGTTCCCATAAAACTCTTCATTTCCCAGATCCCGCCATCCCACATGGCAGAAAGCACAAACATTCAATAAACACCACATAACCTTGTCACACACAGATGATGTTCATGACAGAGGGCAATGTGAGCACTTAAGCCATGAAAGCTGTGCCCTGAGAGGGATGGGTGACAAGGGGTCCTAGCCTCTCCCACCCCTGGTTCAGCTCCATGGGGCCCGGAAGCAAGGCTCCCACAGGGTCTAGACAGATGGGGAGAAGCACCCTGACCGTGGGCACAAGCAGGTGTCCAGACTCAGCCTCATGGACGGAGGAGACAGACAGAGATGAGGAAGCTGCCCTCGTAAAGCTGTGGGCCTTCTTGACTCTGTCCCGCTTCAGAGAAGGAAGGTTCCTCCTTCAGACCAAGTCTCCCAGGAAAGAACCACAGGAACCTGTCATTCTCCCTCCGACTCACCCAGCCACCCATCAGGTTGGAATCCGCCTCCCAGCACACGTGGCATGAGCGCAACCACAGGAAGCAGCGCATGTCCTGCCAGCGGGGACCCGGGAGGGAACCCGCATGAGGCCTGGAGTCTGCACAGACCCTGGCCTGTGTGGGCTGTAGGAACAGGAGTGCGAGTTTGGGGGAGGGTGAGTGTTCAGTGCCCACCACTGCAGGAACGGACGCGTTTGATGGAAGAGCAGCACAGGGTGTGCCCCTCCAGGAGCAGGACACTGAGATGGGGAAGTTCTAAAACGGCGACCAAGTTACTCCCCAAAAACGAAGTGCTCAGACAGGATGACGGTTAATGACAACGGTGGCAGTCTCCAGACCCCATCTCAGCTCGAAGCCCTGTCCCATGCGCTGCATGCTCCTGGCTGTGTCCAGACACAGGAAGCATCAGGATTGACGACAAAGGTGAACTGACCGTGAGCATGAGGGTCCGTAGGTGAACCCAGCCAAGACCATGGTGCCTGAGGAACCATTTCCGGGGCACAGAGGACACATGGGATATGTGGGGAGTTGAAGGCGGTTCTCAGAGGTGAGGACAGACAAGCGCTCTTGCACCCCGGCTCGCGGGCCGTGGGCTTGTGTCGGGTTGTGTTTGCTGATGTCCACCATTTGCTGATGTGGCACTGACCTCCGGGTCCCTGGAGTGGGTGTCCTGTCCTTCCTGGCCGGAGTCTGTGGACAGAGGGGGCAGCTCTGGCTGGGGGAGTGGTGACTTCACAGGGCTGTATTCCCGGTTTGTCAGTGTCCTGGTGGCTGGGAGAGGACTGTTCTAACCCGGAAGGCCACCTAGACATTGCTGAAAATTGCTCCTGCCACCCTCAGAATGAATTCTTCCGCACAGTTCAGATCTGTCGTTTGACTTAGGTTTCAATCCAGGCACACACTTCGGTCAACTAAGCATCTCAGCATCCTCTATGGTCGTGTTTCCCAGAGCTGGCAGCTCAGAGATTGATGCAGAAAGGGACACAGCAGCCTGTCCCTAAGTGGCAGGAAACGGTCCATTTCAATTAATGACAGATCATTTTCACCATGGTTTCTGGGAGCCTGTGCAGGAGGGCATGGTCGCTGCTGGGGCATCAACATCTTTAACAACTAGAGGAGGCCAAGGGTCATTCCCATGAGTAACACTGAGTCCGTGGAGGATGGGCTCTGAGCGCCAGGATGGGTCCACACATGACCATGACAGTAATCACAGTGTCAGGTGAGCACACTCCAGCGTGGCTACTTGAGGATACCATCAACCTGTGTAAGCTCCTAACATACTATCAGTAGCCCTGGATGCTTTGGAATATGAGGTGCAGGGGCCAGACTTTCAAGCTGGGGGTCCCACTAGGACATCTTCACCCCAGAGGACATGGGGCAGTGTCTGGGGACATTTCCGGTTGTCACAACAGGAAGGAGTGCTACCGGCTTCTGTGGACAGAGGCTAAAGACACTGATAACCCTCCCATGATGCACAGAATGGTCCCCACACAGAGTTAACTGCCCAAGCATCAGCAGAGTCGAGGTCAAGACACTCTGGTTGGAGCCCCAGCGAACATCTCATTTTGTCATCCGGGTGTCTCCAGGGAGGACCAGTGAGGGCACGGCATGTTCATCAGAAAGTACCCAGGGATGCAGGTGGCTCTTGGCTCCATCACTGGCAGCCCCGTGACCTTAAACAAGAACCTCCCAGCTCTTTGTTTAGACACACCAATGTCTAAAGCTAAGTTTTCTGGCAAAATTATTGTGACTTCTTCAAGCCCGGTGGGTCTGAGTTCCTTGCGGAGTGACCTGGGGCTCTCAGCGACACCCACTCACCTCTAAGTCAAACCATGCCCATAGAAGAGCACAGTGCCTACCATAGCCGTGGCCCCCCCAGAGCCATGAGATTGGCATCGGATTGGTGGGAACTGTAGACAGCCTTGCTCCTTTGAGAGGGCTGGGGTCCTGCAGCCATGACTCATGGGCCTGAGCCCCCACCCACTCACGTAGAGTCAGAAAGGATGCTCTCTTCATCAGCTAATTCTCACATAACATGGGATGTCCTGGCTGGATTCCCTGATGGGAGAGCAGGTGACTTTTAGGAGCACATAGAAGAGGCAGAGCCTCCTGCTGTCCCTTGATATCCCGTATTCCCCTCTTCTAACATTATAAATCCCAATTATAGCAGGGCACATGACTACCCAGGCTAAAGCTAAATTTCCCATCCTGCCCCACAGCAGGTGTTCACCTCCCTGCTGTACCCCTAAATGGACTGTGCACCCCACGTTCCCTCCTCCTCTTCTCTTCTGCGGAATGTGACTCACACCTCCCTGGACCAGGCAGATAAGAACATCCTCAAAGATGACAGAGCCCAGAATGAAGGCAGCCGAGGCTCACCCCCTGAAACCACTAGGCCCAGGACCTCCCAAGCCAAGATGGTCATGTGGGAGAGAAGCAAAACCCCGGCTCATGAAGCCACTCTTGCTTTGACTGAGGAATTTATACACCAATAAATACAGAGAGTAGACTTTCTATGTTAACATTATGTATTCACTTTAATATCCATTAGAAGAAGATCTCAGCTTGTTAATCAAACCCACAATTCCACGAAGGCACAGTAAACAACCGTCCAGGAATGGGCGAGGCCTCCTGGCATGTGGGACTCAGCAGCAGCCCCGTGGGCCCGGGGCCTAGGCCCGGCCTCTGCTCAGATGCCAACTCTGTCCCCACAGGGCTGCGCTGTCTGTCTCACGATGTGGATACTTAGCTCAGTGCTGGCTCTGCCAGACTGCGACCCGACCTCCCAGGGTCACCACTGAATGTGCTGGCTGCAGCCTGAGTCGCAGACTCCTACCTCCCCGCCCCTGCCTCAGCCGCATTCGCTCAAAAGTTCTGACTGTTCTCAGGG